TAAAGGATAGCTCGTACTTTAATCAGGTTGACTTTATATATATATACAAATCATACTTCCATTAGCCATCACCCCAAATGCATTCAAGGAATTTTCTTGACTGAAGCTTCAAGGTCAAATATGAATTATAAGGAGAAGAATAAATTTGGGTGTATTAAATAAACCGCTCAACTCGCATTTAATTTTTCGTTCTTTAGTTTGTTGATAGTTGTGCATTGTTTTTTCTTCTTTCAATTTTGTTATTAATTTGGGGTAAGTATAATTTAATATATATTTGATTAATACTCTTAATCATTTGACATTGAACTTTTACATTTTTGACATCTATAATGCTCAAACTCGAAAACTCAAAGAGTAACAATAATTCTTTTACCATCGAGTTCGCTTAGCTCGTGTTTATTCTTTCTCACTTTTTTTCACATTCAAAACATTTAACATGTTAATTAATTGAACCATTAATATTAAACGGTTTTAGTTAATCGAACTGTTAAAAATAATAATTAACCGTTAAGGATACAGTTACGAATTTTGTTGGTTAACTGTTAATAAATTAATTTTATAATTATATTTCTAATTTATTATATTTTTACACAGATAACTTAATATAATTTTATATTATTTATAATATATATATTTTTAATAAAATTTGTATACAAATAACTTAATATATTTTTTACTTTTTATTTCTTTGAAAATATAGAAACAAACTTACACCAATATAATTATGTGTTTATTGTTAGGTCCTAAGGTATCGGGAGATGTGCATACTTACACCGGTGTAAGTATGTGTTAAGTGCTACACTTTTTTATTATGAATTATGAAAATATTTTGACAAATAATTGTAATAGGTTAACCTGTAGCCGAACCGTTAATAACGGTTAACCATTAGCGGTTAACTATTTTTTAATGATTATGTTACGGTTAGAAAAACCACATAGTTATTATAACGGTTAACCGACCGTTTAACATCAACACCTCTACCCACAACCACCAAGTGTATTATGTATATTAATTCACCACTTAAAAAAGATATTGATTTGATTAAGTGTGTCCCTAGTCCTCATCATCTTTGTAGTTTTAACATTATTTACATAATATGAATGACAGAATTTTACAACAGTCAACAAATCAACAAATGATTTGTTATTACCTATATGAACCTTATTCACGAGATCATCAATCACAAATGTTGGATTACTATCATTGCCAATGTATCACTTTGTTATTAGTCCCATTCACCTAAATGTTGCATTTAGTAATTTTATCCCTAATGATTTAGTAAGAGAATAGACCAAATTCACTTATGGCTTCATTCAATTAATGACTTATATCTCAAACATTCCGATTAGTGACTAAAATAAAAAGAATAAAAAAGTTGGTTGCTAAAGTGCAAAGCTAGAAAAAGATGGATCCCTTAATATGTTCTTTTCTCAAATTAATTTAAGGGCTAAATAAAAAATTAAATGAGATATAAGATAAAAAATGATATTTCATGTTCGATATGAAAATTAAAAATTAAAATAATGTTGGAATTGAATACCGCAAAATTCACACGTTACCACTGACAGGATAAATAAATGATAAAGAATGATCGAACCAACTGAAACTGTGTCATGGTGGAAACCTCTATCTTAGAAACAAATTCGTCCCGATGTGTATAATCGCTGCTTCAGGCGAATTGTCCCCAAGGTTAACACGAACTCTTCGAGATTTCGTACACCCAAAACCAGAGTGGACTTCGATGGTATTGCTCCTCTGATCACCGAAAATAGTAAGAAGCTTAGAAAGCTTTTAGAGAGTTTAAAGATTTTTGAGTGAATTGATGAGTTGAGAAGCTAGCAATACTTCTCTATTTATAGGTTGTACGTCAGGGGCAAAATGGTCCAACGTGCATCGTAATTATTTCTAATTAATTTATGAATTAATTCTGTCTGGAAGTTGTTATCACAACGAGTGAACTTGGCCTTAATTCAGTCCAGGTTCAAAAATTTAAAATCCAGCCGTTTGTAACTCATGCATTTATATTTATAACTCTTGCATTTACTCTGTAACCGACTTAAAAAATAATTTGGAACATAGCCTGATACTCGTTCAGGTTCACCAACGTTTCACACACTTGATTCAAGAAATTGGCTGTTATAGATTTAATTTTCAGAAATCAAAATGTTTTAACAGCTAATTAATCACTTGTTACTCTCTGAAATTTAAATCACCCAGACCACTGCAACCTATAAATATTAAATCAATTCTTTCACATTTCTTTTATGCTCAGACAATTCCTTACGAATTTTCTCTAAAAAGATAGAATCCGCGCGGACGTGTTGAAGACACGTATTGCCATGAACCACAACCACATGCACGAGATGAGACGAGACGAGACAAACGGACAGAAACAGCGGCGGTGCGCGAAATTGCCCTTTATTCTTTATCACTCAACAAGGGAGGGAAGAATGCACACTATAAATACCCAAACCAGCGGTATTTCCCACTCAATGTGGGATATTATATTTCACGTTACCAACATTCCCCCTCTAATGTGAAAGAATTCTTCTGAAACTCGAAATATAATCTTCTTAGAAGAGCAACAGCGGAGCTAGTTGCTTAAGCAATAGTGAACGTGTATCTTGAACTAGTACATAGTGATGATGAGCAATCATTCTCTTAGATAAGTGAAGCTAGTCTTGAACTTTCTAAGATAGGGGTAAACTCATAACACATAACTAACCCATTCATCCACCGAAGTCTTCGATGTGTAAGATATATACACAAGTGTATATTTGGCCATCTTGCCTCAGAATTTTAGTAAGTGTACTAGAAAAACGTCCCAAACGTTTTTCAGAGAAGGTGGCTAATCCTTCTCACTTACGTAGGTTATTTCATCAAGTTTATCATAACATAAACCACCCTTAAACCGGGCTATGAAATAATTAAGAGCTTCTAAAATAGCTCAACCTCATAATAGGTTATGGTAAATTTTTTCAAGTTCGTTATAAAACAAACCAACGAAATTCTAGGATAAGAGTTCATTAAGAACAAATATTCAACCTCATTAATCGGTGAATTCGATATGTCCTTCTCACTAGAATCATCCAAACTTTTGGATTCAAATTCTTTAGGAGTTTTCATAAAACTCAACCTATCTAGCGGTAAGTTCATTTTTTTCGTTCTCAATTAGGATTACCCACTCAACTCTTGGTTATGAACTTATTAAGAATAGATATTCAACCAAAGTCGGTAAATTCATCAAGTCTTTCTCACTAAGACCACCTAAAGTCTGGGCTATGAATTTATTAAGATTAATTAAGCTCAACCTGGGCATGCACATTGTTCTTCATAGGGATAGGTAGGGAAATGTACACTATGAGTCTTTCCATGATTTCGTTTAATCACATTGAACTTAGATAACTAAGTTGGGTATCCACCATGAATTCCTCAAACAATGGGCTTTAAACCCATCCTCCTTGATGAATCTGGGACCAGTTTCCGACTTAGCGGATCTACTAGGTTCCTTTCCGACTTCACATACTCTAAAGAGAGTACTCCATTCCTTATCAAGTGTCTAACAGATTCATTCCTTATGAAAATGTGTCTCTTCTTACCATTGTAAGGTTGGTTCTTAGCCACACTAATCGCAGCTTGTGAATAAGACAGTAAGGAAACTGGAAGAGTCGGTCTTCATCATAATGGAATTTCAGCTAATAAATTTCTGAGCCATTCAGCTTCTTGCCCATCTAAGTCAAGAGCTATAAACTCTGACTCCATAGTGGAACGAGCTATACAAGTTTGTTTTGCAAATTTTCACGAGATCGTTGCTCCACCTAAAGTAAAAATATACCTACTCATCGAGCTTACTTCATCATTATCAGAAACCCAACTGGCATCACAATATCCTTCTAACACCGCAGAATAGCCAACAAACTCAACTCTCCAATCCATCATACCCTTAAGGTACTTAAGTAAGAGACGAAGAGCGCCCAATGTTCACCACTTGGGTTGTGAGTATATCTACTAAGTCTGCTCACAGCTTAGACAATATCAGGTTGAGTATAGTTCATTAAAAACATCATGCACCCAATTATTTTAACATATTCTGTTTGGGAAATGTTATTTCCTTTATTTTTAAAGAGATGTATGCTTGAGTCATAAGGAGTTCGAACAGGGATGACGTCAAAATTGTCAAATTTCTTTAACACTTTTTCACTATAATGAGCTTGATTTAAAGATTATGTCGACTTCTCCCAAATCAGTCATCTCAAACTTAGTAGACAAAAAATCTTTTATTTTGTTAATAGACTCGATGTTAGTATTGAAAATCAACATGTCATCAACATATAAACTTATGATGACGATATCAACACCAAACATCCTCGAATACGAGTATGCATCCGAATGATTCACAACAAAACCAAAATTAAGGATAATTTTGTGAAATTTCTCGTACCATTATTTAGGATCCTGTTTGAGGCCATGAAGAGACTTTTTGAGCCTACACATTTTGCCTTCCGTACCATGCGCCTCAAAATCAAGGCGTTGCTCTATATAGATCTCCTCATCTAGATCTTCATTCAGAAATACAGTCTTTACATCCATTTGATGTAGTTGTGACTTGTGAATAGAGGTTAGTGCAAATAATGCACAGATCGTTGAGATCATTGCTACGGGAGAGTAGGTATCGAATAGGTCTATACTGAATTTTTGAGTGAATCCTTTGATGACTACCCTTGTCTTGTACTTCTGGATACACTCTGAGTTTCTTCTGGAAGACCCATATGTACCCTTTGATGATATATGATGATGAATATATGATGCTTCAAATTTAGATCCAACTTCTTTAGTATATAATTAACTCATCATTTTTCTTTAGGTGGTGTAAGATTGAATCTTCATCGACTCGATCCTTTAGTTTGTGGCCTCAAAAAGAAATAAAATTAACAATCTATTTTTTAATTTTATATTAAAAATATATAAATCATTGACACTACAGATTATTAAGAAAAGGACACACGATCTATCTTTTTTAAAATTTCTTTCTCTATTGAAAGAGCATCTTATTACACACAATCATGTGTTTTTAGGTAGAAATAAGGTGAAGAAGGGAAAGTAACAATTTAATTCCAGTCGACATGATTATGGAAGCTTAACGATTCTTGCGAGACAGTTATCTGCCGGACGTGTCAATGGTAGGGTGATAGTCGGTACATTTGTGTTTATCTCTTCAAGCCTGCAGAATATAAAATGAATTAAAGTTATGAGTGTTGAGGGTAAGTGAAAGACGAATGTCTAAAATTCTAGATGAATAAAAATATATATTACTTTAAAATTTTCAGGGTGATCATGGTTCTGCACGCTGATGCATGTTTTTTTTTCTTTGGATATTTATTGTGGGAAGACTTTTGCAATTTCTTTTAGAATTCAAAGTAATTGTTTACTTGTAATAGGCATGAAAAAAAAAACAGAGAGAATAAGAACTTACTTGTAATTGAGGAGGAAATAGTGGAGGAAAATGGAGACCTCCAGTTTGCCTAGCTCAGAACCAGGGCAGAATCTGCTCCCTCCTCCAAAGGGAATGAAATTTTTCCCCTTCAATCCAGGGTTCTGCATTTAGGTGAGTGTCAATTAACATCATTCCTTGGTATATGTGAAGCAAAGTCCTCTTCATATATGAATTTGGTATATTTATTTGTTTTACTGACCTCCCATCTCGAAGGAAGAAACTCTTTTGGGTTTGGATAAATGGTAGGATCCATATGAATAGCCCTACTCCAAACCAAAACTTTCCATCCATTAGGTATGGTATAACCTGTAAATCAAAGGAACCCTTTATTCTTTGAGACAAACATTGAAAGTATTTTCGATAAAAACGAAGAAACAAAGTTTAGAAAACTAACCATTAAGGTTAACATCAGTTTCAACCTGACGAAACAGCGTGAAGGCGAAATTGGCTCTTCTCATCGACTCATCAATCACCTGCAAGGAATCAAACGCAGCACGGTTAATTTGTTACGTACTACATATAGTGCTGTCGACCATCTGAGTTAATTATAAGACAACGAACCTTGGGCAGATAGACCATCTGCTTGATTTCAGTGAGGGTCAGGCCATTCTGGGAAGATGGCCTTCTCTTTATGACCCCCTGCTGTTCTTCCTTTGCTTTTTGCAACATTTCAGGATGGTGATGGAGGTAGATGGTTGCCCACATTGCAGTGTGAGCCGCGGTTTCGTGACCGGCGAACAAGAATATCAGCAACAAATCCATGAGATGCTCATCATCCAGTTTTTCACCATTGTCGTATTCTGCTTCCATGAAATAATCAATCATTTCTTTCTTGGAGTCGGGCTCCTTACTTTTGGCTCTTCTTTCTGCTACTTTGTCTTTAAATATCTTGAGCAGCATTTTTCTGGCCTAATGAACATATCAAAGTTTGGTATATATAATCAGAGCTCGTCTTATATCTGATGAAAACAAAAGTTCACAATTGATAGGATAGACGAAATTAATTCACCTCAAGTGCTCGATGGAACACAAAACCAGGGATATTAACGGGCACGGAAACAATGCCGGGGAACAAATCGTTGTAACATTTAACCAGTGACGAAAGAACCGACTCTTCAGTGGTGCCCAACACAATGTGTGCGATAACCTTGAAAGTGATCTTCCTCATCTCATAGAAGAAATTGGAGGGTCCTTTCATGGAGGAAAGCTCTTCCAATGAGCTGGTCACAATCCCTTCGATAAGCTCGATATGGGAGGCTAGTGCTTCGTCTCCATTGATGGGATTCATCGCTATCTTACGCAAACGCCTGTGCTCCGTGGCTGTAATTCCATACAGCGATTTCTTCCCCGCTAGTTGTTTTGCCGATGAAGGGTAGCCGAACAGAACGTGTTCATCGGCCAATGCCTTGCGGCAGAGCTCCGGACTGCAGACTATGATGGTTGGACTCCCAAACAAATGGGTTTTGTAAATGCCTGTTTTCCCATGCCTGCAACCACAAATTCCCTTGCACGTCAGACGACAAGCATTTCAAGGATGAAAAAGAAGAGACGATTAAGAAGCTTATAAATAACCTTTTAATCAAGTCGGTGATGAAGGTGTCTGGGTCCTGGGAATTGAAAGCTTTGAAGAAGGAATAGATGTGGCCGATGAAGGGCCATCCCATATCACCAGGAGGCAGGGTGTTTTTCTTCTTCCCCAACCTAGTAACATAGTACCATTCATTTATATTTTTTAAGAAACCAAACACAATAACATATGTTGCAGCCACAACTGCCAGGATTGAACTCAGCAATTCTAGCCCCATTTTATTTTTCCTCTCTCTTTTTGCCTCTCGATACACATTTTCGGGTTCGAACGTGCTTCCTTTTATAGACACAAATCGCTGTACGTATATTGTTCTCTAGAATAGTCAATGTTTTTATTTTATGTTTATGTAATTTTTTATATGCATTCTATTATGAGTAATTATCCGAAGCATTGGTGATGAGACATGGAATAATAATTTTTATATTATTTAAGTTATAGTTTAATTTTTAAAAGTATTTTTTTATATTATAAACCCATTAAGTTGTCTTTGTGATTAAAAAAATATTGTTCTTTTGATTAAATGAAATATTGTTATTTTTTGATATTATAAATTCGAACTGTTGCGTCTGTTGTGAGTAATTATCCGAAGCGTTGGTGATGAGATTAAAAAAAAAATCATACCGACACCGGGATAATATTTTTGTATTATACAATTTATAGTTTATTTTTTTTAATTTTTTTTATAAATTGAATCAATAATTAATAAAATTATTGAATTGGGATATTCGTTGTGAATATATATATATATATATATATATATATATATATATATATATATATATATTATAAGAATTCATTTATTCTTTTCTTATCTTTTCTTTTCCTCTATGCATGTTTCCCGACTGGCCATTGTATGAATCCTGACCTAAATGTTGTTCTCATGTATTAAGTCACAAGTTTATAGACCGCGAGACTGATTTTGGGATTACTCTAAGGTAAGCATCCAGGCTGATTCTTTTAACATGCAGGTATAGTGTCGTGGGATTACTGCAACCAGCAATTCAACATTGACCGAGACCTGAAAAGTAGGAAATATAAATATTCTAAACTATTGGGTCTGCTGCTATTTCTTTAAAATTTGATTAGCAGACAATGGGTTCTGCTTTGCGTGGACCTGTAAGAACTGAAGACTTTGGGGTCGTCCTTACCTTAACGCTACTCTCCATTGAAACGCCGTCGTCAATCGTCTAACTGATAAATTTTACTTTTTTATTTTCCTATTGTATGAAATATCGTTGAAGTGATGGAGTGCACCTTGTTGATCCTATTTTCATAAGTGTTGGATTTGTAGGAATATTAAAAGACACTTCACACACCAATAATAACCGGTTGATCTAATAAGATGAGACACTAGATTTTTACGGATTGGGAGGATTACTCTCGTAATGGACCTTTGTAAAATCTGATCTGAATTAATCGGTCAATAAATCAGATATCAATGATTAATTAAAAAAATTCACTGGTTTACACTACGTTAATTAGGTTGACTTTATATATAAATATATATATACACACACTAACCATACTTCCTTAGCCATCATTCCACATGTATTCAAGATGTTTTATTGACTGAAGCTTCAAAGTCAAATATGAATTGTAAGGTGAAGAATATATTTGTGTGTATTAATCAAACCGCTTGACTCGCATTTAATTTTCCGTTCATTGGTTTGTTGATCGTTGTGCATTTTTTTTCTCTCTTCATTCTAATGAACTTCACTCAATTAAAAGAAACGATTTTTTTATAGCAGGTGACTTAAGAGTTTCGGTTGAAAAATGATAGTTTTAATTTAATTGAGATCACCTACCCCTTCAATAAAACAAGTTTGAACTATTCTCCTGGCTTTTTAGGGAAATAATGTCCCCACTTAAAAATATTAGAGAAATACAAGACATCATTTTTATTAGATCTATGGTACTTTGGTAAATTTTTTACGATAATGGTAAAAAAAGTGCTTGAATAATGGTAAATCGGGATTATTTACTCGAATAATGGATTTAGTACAGGACTACGATGTGATGCAGGGACCTCACTGCGTCTTCGATTGAAGCGTGGAGGGACGTCAGGACTGTAATACGACTCCCCCTATTGTACTTCGTTTGTTTTTCTTTTTAATTTTATTATAATGTTTTTCATAATTAATCTTTATCTAATTTATGTTTCAAAGAATATTCTTCCCAGATTTAGGTGTAAGAATAATAAAATTAGACCGGTGTGTATGTAGGGGGAGATGTCTGTATGGAGGGAGAGATGTGTGTATGGAGGGAGAGACACAGGGCAGTCATGACGTCTCCTCACATTTCAATCAAAGACACATCGGGATCCTTGCGTCACACCTTGGTCCAGTAAATATATTACTCGAGCAAATAATTTTCATTCACCATTATTCGAGTAATTTATTTTCCAGACCATTATCATAAAAATTTTGCCATTATATCTATTACAATGATTTTAAAATTTGTCATGTTCTTTCAATATTTTTTTAAAAAAAATATTTTATTTGAACTTATCATATCAGTTACAACAAATTTCTAATTTTTTTTTATTTTTTATTCAATTTATTGGATGTTAAACTTTAGCATAATAATATTCTTCTTGGAATTCATTGGGAAACCATGGCGATTTCTAAGATATCAACATTTAAATGAATTAAATTATAATTTTATTATTATTATTATTATTATTATTATTATTATTATTATTATTCTTTTACAAGATTTCTTGATCAATTTGTGTCGCCTTCCAAAAGTCTCCTATTATTTTCACATTCAAAACAATCAAATTTAAGATTTTGATTACTCGTTAAATCTGCTAACTGTTTACTTTTTTGGGTCAATTTTTTTAATTTTGACTCATCATTATTTAAATTTTATTATTAGTAAAAATATGAAAAAAATATATTTTAAATCTTTAACCAAGTAGTTTTTAAAATATATATTTTACAAAATTTAATTATTTAAAATATTTAAAATAATAATGGTCAAAATTTTAAAAAATTTAACTTTTTGATATTCAATGATAGACACATTGATTAAGACAAAGGGAGTATTTTTCAGTAACTCCTAAAAATATGTTTTTTAATCGTGAGATTCCTTGGAAATAATTTTCAATGAGTTTTAGTTGAAGAATGTTAAATATGAAGTCTCGTGTTGGACTGGCAGCCTCTTGATTCTCTTAAATTATTGCACTCTCCGGTGGTTGAATATTTTTTTTTATCTCAAACAATATTCCATAACAGATATATACATTTGTGTTCTTAGTTCAAATTTCATCAATCCAAGAAAGGACACTTGTTAACATTTTATTAATATATGATTAAAGTCTATAAATTTCCTGGGTAATTACTCATAAATAATTCATGGACGTGACTGAATAGTTGTAACATTACAAATAAAAAATTGATGTTGAAACGGTCTAATTTATTGAAGTGTTTACATTCAGGTGATCAAATGTTGTAGGGCAGTTTTCAAAATAAGACAAACTAAAATTGAAATTGGGACAAGACTGAATGGTTTGGTGAGATCTAGAAGATAGGAAGTGGTCTGGTTTCATTTAGATCATTGACTAAAAGAAAGGGGGAAAAGGGGGGCGGTCGGTGTTTCGGTATTGGTGGAAGAGATGAGTGGAAAAGAAATATACCTCTATCTTGGAATTGGGGTTTAATTTTGCGACTCGCGCTATATAAATTTATGTAGACATGATTGGTATTGCAAATTATAAATTACTTTAGAATTTTATTTCATAATTTGATTTAAATTTAAATTTTTATAATATGTGATATTTTTAAAGCGAAGAGAGTCGAGTCAACTTTAAAAACCTGTTACCAAGCTCAGTGGAGAAAATCCTTCCGCCCAATTGTGGTTTGAACAGGATAGACCACCCATCTATCAAACATGTCCACTTTTGATATAGATAATTTCTTTTGAACCACGTACATTGTACGTTGAGCCTGATATCATTTTAATGGTTTTTTTTCTTTCCAATAGATAATGTAGGTAAAAAAATTAATAAGTTAAATCATCTTTAAAATTAATTTGGGATCTACGGTAAATGTTATAGTACAGAACAAACTCGTCACCCCTATTTTATGAGTTTATCTAAATGATATTTTTTATTCAAACTCATCACGTCAAAATGGCGAGTTCTAATAAAATATAATTTTTATTAGATTTTTTCATGTTAGAGAGATAAGTTTTAATAAAAAAAATATATATTTTATTGGAACTCGTCATGCTCACGTGACAAGTTTCAAGTAATTGTAGCAAATGTCATACTTTTCAAAATAAAAAAAAATTGATATCGTATTGGGCTAAATAATTAATCCACCTACGGTATTGGGCCAAATTTGCCCATTTTAATTAGCCTTTCTTGATTGTATGTGGTCCATTTCTATCAGCATTTGGATCCTTTAAGCTTGTAAATATAACCCAAATAAGCTAGACCATGACTAGATTTCTAGATATTCTTTATCCTTCAAATAAGTTTGCAAGCCTTTAGTTTTTACCAACATGTTCAATTTGAACTTGAATTATTTTGACTTCATTATTGGGCTTGTGGAAAGGTAAGCCCATCACGTCCACGATCATAAATTTGGGCTTGGTGCTCACACCATTCCCCATCCTCAAAATGATTTAACTCCAAACATGGAATATGAAAGATTGATGCATATTAAACAAGAAAGAATCTTTATCGTAAGTGGAAAAATTTAACTAAGCTCCTCTTAATGATTCTACAAAGTCCTCAAATAACCAACGGATTGGTTCAAGTGGTAAGTAGCTTGATACCGCTTAAGTAAAGTTTCATATTCGAATTATTGTGTATGCAGAAAATCCATACTAGGAAATTCACCCACCAAAATTAGGTGTGCGACCCGAGTTGATCCAGATTAATCAGGATGAAGCCTTGGAATGGGAGGGCAACCAAAAAAAAGTCCTCAAATAAACAAATAAAAAAAGCACCTCTAGAAAAAACTTGTGTTAAAGTTGGTTGAAAAAGAAACAATTTTCTCCAATTGCATAGATGATATGTTTCTTTGTAATGTTCTCACTTTTTTATTGTCTCTTGCACACCTTCTTTTATTTTTTTATGTATGCGTTCGCTCATCCAGTTTATACCTTTAATTTTACTTTTATCATGTATGATCTTCTTCCACTTACTCTTTTCACAAGAAATAAACCCGATGTCCTAAACTATATGTATATACTAATTATATTTATTGCTAATAAAATTGTTAGGTCAAGTTATATTATTATATGTCG